ATAATATGTATCTGTGGACAGGTTTTTAATGTTTATCAACACTGGAAAGCCCTCAGAGTACATTATGTTGTTCGTTCATAACAATTACTACCAAAGAAAAATATTTATTAAAATACATACCCTTACACTTATGATAAAAATCAAAATTATATCAGAATGTAAGCGAGATCTAATACTTTCTTAAGTTGGGTTAAAGTTTAAATTACATCCCAAAACAACTGTAAATCACATGGAATACAGTTTTGTTCGATAACCATTATGACACACTGTCACGTTCATAACATGATGACAATCCATTATGACAAGCATGTTTTTGCCTCTTCTTCGCTTTTCTTTTGAGTCATCAGCACGCTACTCTTCCATGTCTATGTTATGCCACCATGTAAAAGGATGTTGTGAAACAGCGGGAAGTCCCTCACATGATATTTTGCAGTGTTTGTTCATGAATAACATCATTATAATGACAAACCTGGATTATCTCAATCAAAGCAAAACCATGCGATGGAGCGGAAAATTACCCTTCTGATGGATCAATGTCAAACCAATGTTTAATACTGGTCATTCCTGGGAATGATATGTTTAACAATTTGGTTTTTCTAGACCTTGGAAAGTCTGATGATGTGTAATTATGACACGAGTTATGAAAGAACTTTTATAAATTTTACTCAGCAATAACATCATTAATATAAAAAAATAAAATCTTGTTAATGGACACACGGTGTTAATGTTATGATGGTGTATACTAAATATTTTCAATTTTTGAATGCACTACAGTTTGACAGTTTAAGATTAACAATACTCTGTATTTATTAACATACAATTACGTGCGCACTCAAGATGAGTTAAAAAATGCCCTATTTTTAGTACTGTTATATATATATAAATCTTTCTATGAAGAGATATAAGATGCACACATCAATCTACTTGCTCATGCTGCTTGACCAACTTATTTCCTTGCCATATGCATAATATTTTCAGTAGAAAACATATTTTTCCATGAGTAGTGGTTGATTTAAATAGTCCTTCATGCAAACTCCCCCACCTTTTGGCAAAGGCTCAGGGGACCGTACGCCCCAATAGTGCTTGGCGCTAAGGGACCGTATGCCCTACCTGCGCTAAGCTGTCCCCGTGGTTTTATGCACCCCTCATAATTTAGCAAAATTTGATTGTTTTTTGCATAATAATTTCTGATTATTTTTCTTTAACAGTCTTTGTTAAAATTAACAAAATCGTATAGGTCTAATTTTACATTTTTCGGCTCAGTCTGCATAATTTCAGAATTTTTTTTTGCATAAAACCGTGGGGACAGGCTGAGACTTGGTGTTAAGGGACCGTACGCAGATGTGCTTGCATCTGGACTTTGCAAAAATACTGGAGGAAATTTGACAATGCTGTTTTAAAATAAATCAGTTTTTTCCTTCTCCTGGAAAATTAATCTGAGATCTGGCACTTACGAGGTCTGATCATGGGGGCATCAATATGGAGTTTATACATCTTTAAAACCTTGTTTCTTTACCTTGCTTTTGATGAAAAAAATACTTGTCATACATGATATTTGTTTAGAAGTCGAGATATATTTGCGATCGAAGGAGGTGGGGGTCGATTACATTTTTTTGTGCCTTTAATTTTAATGAACGTTTTTTGTTTAAAATTCCCTCAGAAATGAGTTTTTTTTAATATAAAAGAAACGTGTAAAATAAAAAAAACAGAAAGTCAATCCATAAAAATTTCCAAACCAGCGGAAGAATGTGGGTTTCCTAAAACTCATTATTTTGACTCGAGCGCCTGAGTTCACTCATGATGCAAACACCCCTACCTTTTAGCAAAGGCTCAGATAGGCCTAGATCTAGATCCTATTCCTTTTATAATATAATTATTTATCAGCCTCTACTTTAATTCCTGAGACAGCAACAAACTTGAATGACGTGAATCAAAAGATAGATACGGACATCCTGTTGATATTGACCTTACTTTAAAAAATTTGTGTGCCTTTAATTTTAATGAACGTTTTAGTTTAAAATTCCCTCAGAAATTAGTTTTTTCAAAGGTAATTGTTAGGGGACCGTACGCCCCAATAGTGCTTGGCGCTAGGGGACCGTACGCCCCAATAGTGCTTGGCGCTAGGGGACCGTATACCCCAATAGTGCTTGGCGCTAGGGGACCATACGCCCTACCTGCGCTAAGGCTTGGTGTTAAGGACCGTACGCAGATGTGTCTGCATCTGGACTTTGCAAAAAAAAATACTGAAGGAAAACGGCCAGTTTAACTTTAACGAAGCTCCTGACGTCAAACGTAGCATTTATATATAATATATACTTTTTTGTGGAAACTTATTTACATCTTGTTTGCCTTTATTCAACGTTTATCAGTAAAATCAACTCAGAAATATGTTCTCTAATGGGCATGAACCTGTGTTGAGCCAAAAAACAAATATTTGATAAAAATTTCCAAACCTGCGGAAAAAGGCCAGTTTTTTTTCATTTTCAACTTTCATTATTTTTTGACGAGCGCCTAATTTCACCACCCTGCCTCACATTATATTAAATAAAATTGATTTAAAACCATGATTAGGCTAAACCATTAATGCACTTTATTTTTAGCCTTATTAACCCTATCCGTACGTCGTCTTTCACTATCGTATCCATACAATGTGGGGAACTCTGTGCCCCCACTTTCCAAAGAGGAAATTAACTCGTTAATCCGATCCGTACGCTTTGCCTAGCAGTGTGTCAAAATGATTTTTTGAGAAATACTGGAAGTTTCAAAGACATCTTCGCACTAGAAGTATTCTCTAAAATGTGAAGAATACATGTACAACCCCTGGGGTTCAAAAATGACCCCAGGCGTACAGATAGGGTTAACCATCTTTCTATCAAGAGTTATAAGATGCACACATCAATGAATCTGCTCATATATATGCAGCTTGACCAACTTATTTCCTTGCCATGCTTTATGGCTTTACCAGAAAACAATTTTTCCTTGAGTAGTGGTTGGTTTTAATTAAAAGTCCTCATGCATGCAACCTTTCCCACTCCCACCTTTTGACAAAGGCTCAGCTGTCACTTTTCTTCCATCATGAAAAGTACCCGGTATCTATAAAAAGGTGGAAAGATGGACAGTGTGTGTACGTTTTATTTCGTGTCAAAGCAAGAGAAAGCAAGACCGTAATGCTGATGATATTTTCTACTTAGTTTTAAAATGATTAAAGAAGAATTGTCAAGACGTTATTCAGGATCATGATGATGTAGTCAAAAGTACACTATCAACCCCTCTTGTGTAACACCCAATGGTTACCTTCAAATTCAAACAACCACACATACTGACACATATTCATACAAATATATGTGATTAACAAAGCATAATAATTTAATGGTATAATAGAGATTGTGTTTATTTAGTGCAAATACCTGCTCAACAGCAAGCTCTATGCTCTACTTTACAATCTATATTATTACCACAGTAGACCCAATAGCATTCTCAAACAATCTCAATTTCCTTGGAAGCATACAATGCAAGCTTCCATTTATAAGCGCTAAAACACTAACATACTCATACTGACAGGGTCTTTTATGTATATGGCTGGGTGTCCATTCACACCTGGGTGAAATGAGGAAAACTCATGTAAAATGCCTTTCCCAAGGACACAATGTCGGGCCTGAGCTTGCTTTTCAAAGAACACAAATTTGGGCCTGAGGCTCGAGTAACCTCACAATTACAAGTCCGATAGCCTAACCATTCCGATGCCATCGTTAGTGCCAGACTATCATTGATCACCACCCACCGCCCACCTTCATATGAACTCAGATTATTGTACACTAGTGAATTTTGCTCTTGGACCGTAATTGTCATTTTAGCTCATAGTAAATCAAGTCTGAAAATTTTAATGTACTACTAGTTGCTTGCATGAAATTTCAATTAGTCCAAAATACAATTCATTTTAATGTTGCAAAAGCTTCAGTTTCACCAAGTTTTTTGTCTCCTTTAAATTTTTGTAAAATAATGATAAGTTTAAACAATCTTGAAGGAACTGTATTTTTTAACTAGTACATTCACAATGTTCACTTTGAATTATCATCTGCGTCTCTTCTACACTCACATCCTTTTCTTTTGATAATCATATAGCTCCACAGCTTCCTCTTCCTCCCCATAATGCATTTTGGTCTTTATGGAGTTGTGAATTTAGTAACAATAAATGTGTGCATATAAATTGATAAGTATACTATCTTCCTTACAGGTTGATGACAAAAATTATCACATTTTACGGACTGGTTGTTTTCCGTTCATCAAATACCATTGTTCCAGCCGACCTCACGCAGACCTTGATGCTGAAAACAAGTTTTACACATTTTTGAAAGCTGCAAATTTAGGTAAAAGCATTTTATATTACTCTTTACGATCGTTGAAGTTTCAGGGTGTTTTAACATATAGTTGCATACTTTTTTAAAATTTGATCTATATCTTTATAAAGATTTTGTCTGAATTTGTATTGAGACATTTATTTATGTTTGTTTTGAGATGGACTTTATTTATTTAGAATGTTGTACTTTTGAGTTTTTGATTACCTTTTTTTGCTCTCTATAAGTACTTTTGGCTTGGTCCTGTTGAATCTGGGTACTAATTCTAAGGTGGGCTTCTTGTTGAAAAGGATATTTTACCGATGCAATTTTTTTTTGAAACTTGATTTGAATAGGGATTTTTCCCTCTGTTTAGGAATGTGATTTACTTGATGATAGCTTCTTTAAATAATATATGGAATTCTAGAATTTTTGCTGTGAACGTGAAGGAGAAGATCCTTGTTTTGCTTCACATAGTGAAGACTTGATGAAGAACATAGTTTTGTGAAGTACAAAACTCTGACTTGAAGGAGCAGCCTTCCTCTAAAATAACCCCAGATGTGTGTATAGGAGCATAAAACATGTACAATCAAAAAATGAATTTACAGTTGATGATATATTAGTATTTCTTATAATGACTTGCTGTTGATATGTGTACATTGACGCTTACAAACACTAGCATTTACTAAGAAAACAAATAAATAGTAATGTGATGAGCCATTCCATGAAAAATGAAACTACAGTGACACATTCGTATTTGGTTAAAAATTTTGTTCCTTCAGAAAACATATGTTTAACCCTTTCTTCATGACATATTGCAAGGATTTTTATATTTTAAGTATGAATAATTTTTATTAGTTGTTTTTTGCAACATGTTGTGTGTCATCAAAGGTTAAAAATGTGCCAAAAATTGTTTTTTTTTCCAAGCTTTGTTTTTACACCTTGTGATACAAAATGTGGCATATCTTTAAAAGCACTCAAGACATTTCATAAATTAAAAAATCAGCTTGTTCAGCATTTGAATTTGCTGGAAGAATATGCCCTTTTATCAATATCAAAAATTTCCTACAACTGGGACCTTTCTCCAAGCACACATACAATTAACACTGAATCATTGCTTCCTGTGAGTATTTTTTAAATTACATTTCTCAAGTACCATTTTGTCATTGCTGTTTAGTTAGTTCATCACTAGTAAAACTACTTGTATGTGATCTCGACAGTGTATGTACTTTCTGAAAATGTTACTTTGTCTCTCTGTAGTGATAGTAATGCCGGCATTTTAATATGTTCTCTCTCTCTCTCTCTCCCTCCCTCCTTCCCTCCCCGCCCCCTCTCTCTCTCTCTCTCTCTCTCTCTCTCACTTTTTCTCTCTCATGGGGCTCTCGTGGTGTAAAGGTTAAAATGTTAGCCTCTGATTCAACAGGTCCCGGGTTCAAATCCAGAAAGTGACGGAAAATTTTCTCTTTTCACGTCCTTTCCTGCTCTCTAATAACGTTCTGTCGTCTGCTTTCGTCTCCACTTTCTACCTCCACCCCCTCACCTCCTTTGCCAGCTCCTGTGGGCTCCTGACTTTTTCTGCAGCCTTTCTACTGCTTCTCCTTAGCTCCTTCTTACTGCTGTCTTTCAACCACACCCCTGATCTTCTGGTAGGTAAGATTTAGTACCTAGACTTCTTGGATAAGGTTTGATGGTCCAAAACCGATAAGAGAAAGCTTCGGCTGCCACCCAGGCAAAATTCTTTTTTTCCTTCCAACCGCAAATGTTTAATGTGTCCCACATGCTCCTGTGACCTTATGCAGTTGCCAGCGCAGTAAAGCACTTACCCCCCCAAAATAATATCTCTCTTATATGTCACAGCTCTTTTGGTAAACCGATTTTGCAGTTACATTTAATTAGATTTTACCTTTCTGATGCCAATTTTATTTGGTTATGTAGGACAAATTTACGCTATGTGTATGCTATTGAATACATAGAATACATTTTGGAAAATCAGGGACGTGAAAATCTATTAGTTAAATACAAAAAAAAATAATATGCATTTTTCACCCTCTGCTCCCTCTATGTGTATGCTATAGTGTACTTCATTCTAACCTTTACTTTTTTATAAACTCTGAACAGGCATTCCAACATTAGCATATGGGATCGGCTCCTGGCTACTTGTGAAGCACTTTGAAGAGGTTCTGATGCCGGATGGTACAAAGATAAAGGTTTATTTTTTAAACAAGGAGATTCCAGGTGCAATGCACTAATTTTGTCTTTTATTTTTTATTTTTGTGGAACTACTACTATAACACTACCCATCCTTACAGTTCAAGACAGTCATATTATCTCGGAGATTTGTGTATTTTGGAATACAGGGTATCGACATAGCTTAAAAAAATAATGGCCCCCCAAAGTTATGAACTCAGCTTTGGTCTGAGCATTATTATAATATTTTTCTGCATAGTATTGTTTATTCTTGCCATTAACTTGTTTGTTGCAATTGTGAGATTTTTGGTTAGAATGTTGATTAAAGCTATCCGAGGCACACCAGATGAAAAGCCCAAACTCACAGATAATGGTAAAACGTCAGAAAGTAACAATGCCCTTTCCCCTGATACAAATAACAGTGCAAAGGACTCATCTTCTCAGGTAAATGATGTTGGAGTTGTTAACAACACTCCTCCATCTTCTGTGAATAAAGATGAAAATACAACCAAACCATCTAAAAGAAAAGGGAAAACTAAGAAAAGCAATTGAGATTAATAGCAATTGGTTGTGAAGTTATGTATATTTATTGAAAATCCATTTCATTCATGAAGTAATCACCATCATTTCCATTGGTTTTGGTTTGAAGTAATGTGAAATGCAGTTTCTTCCCGTGGCCAGAAAAGCTGCTTATATTTTCTTTTAATTTCACATATTTCTTTGATAGTTATCGGTATACACAAGTAACACTGAGTTTTGATGATGCACAGTAACAGCTCCAAATCATAAACAGCTTGTGCCTACATAAATAAATTGCAAATAGGTCCGCTCAGTAGCATATTAAGCGTTTTGTTTGAGAAACAGTACATCATTTATCAAATTGTACTTGAAAATGGAAAATAAATATTTTCCTGTGTGACTGATGTCTGATGAGCTTCCTTACTTTCTTTTTTGGAGCCTTTTAAAGAGTTAGTGAACCATTTATTTGACTTGCAGTTATTTTAGATTTTGTTGCACTTTAAAGGCAGATTGAGGTTTTCTCCTAATTTGGGGTGGGGAATTTTAGAGAAGAAAAAAAACAGTTGAAAAATTTTTAATTTTGTTTTGTTTAGAGTTTGTTTATTTTATTTTATTTTATTTTATTTTTATTTACTTTTAATTTTAATTAAATTTTATTTTATTTGTGGGTGGGGGTGGGGAGGGGCTGTGAAGATATTGTAATTCCTTCTGATAACGTTTTTCTCAGCAATGTTATTTGCTTGTTATCACGTTTTCAAGGCCTTTTCAAATTGAGTTACATGCTGTTTAAAGAAAGGACTGGTAGTTGTTTTAGTTTCTACGGGTTGGATTTATGTTAATCATAATGTATTGCTTTGTTTTGGGCGTGTTTTTGGTACTTTCTTTTTGTTTTTATTTCTTTGTGGTCTTTGAGTCTTTGAATTTACAATATTACCGCACTGAGTAGTTTCTCTAAAAGATGATGAAAAAGTACCTGATTGATCTCAAATTGGATTTGTATTACTCTGAATGCTTCAAAGTTCTTTATGTACCAATATGTGCTGCTAATGTGTTCATGAACCATGAAAAGAACTTCATGTTTAAGAAATGAGTGAATGTGTTTGTGCCTGAAGCCTGTTTATTCATTGTTAGAGATTGTTTGTGTTTTTGATGCCTTGAAAGGAAAACAGAGTTCTTTGTCATGTAAATCAAAAACAGTCTATGGATTGATATTTACGAGTTGTGAATTTCTCCATTTATCTTTACAGTGGCATAACTTCCTTGACTTCTGTATTTATTATGACAGTTTACAAGTGTTACAACATTTTCAGACTTATACTTATTTGTAAATTTAGCATGTAATATAACATACTTCATGTAAACCCCTTTGTGACAGTTTTTAAAAAAACTTGTATTGGCCTAATTTTTGCTTCCCAGGATGGAACATGTTTCAATTATTTTGCAGTCCTTTCAAAATGAAAGATACATGCGATTCATGCAAGTTCGTTATTGTAGATTGCAAATCTTTCTTCTTGAGTGTTTCTTAAAAATTCCTTTAACAGCTATTGTTATACAGCTATAAAGTCTCGTATGGCACTTATTCTATGGTCCACATGATTGCCAGATTTTGCTGAATTTAAAATGTGCATTGTACAAGGGGACAGCTTCTTGGCTCAGGATTTTCAACGTACGGAAAGAAGAGCATATATGAAGTTGTGTATAGTATGTCTGTAAATATATTCTGAATGTTTTATAGTCCCATAAACTCAGTTTGGATAATTTAGGTGGTAGATCTAGATGCTTTCATCCCGACCTCTAGGTCAGTCCAGGTTTTGTCAGATATACCCCTCCTTAAGGACAGATTCACTCTGTTAGATACCTTACACCTTTCATATATAAAAATCAGAAGTCATGTTTTTATATCCAGGATTAAGAGCAAAATTACTGGGCCATGATGGGGGTGAGAGGGGGTGGGGGGGGAATAGTTTTTTTTGCATAAATTATCGCCTAATTTTTCTTTTGAATTAGAGCTTGATAATAATAGCTTTTTCTTTTGTTGACCAAGCTCAGAGTGTGATGTCTGGTCATCTGGTCACCTTGCTCCAGAAGTCAACTGTAAGATTTTTGGATGCTTTTTATTATTTTCAGGGACTGGACCCTGGGTCAGCAAACAGGCTTAACCCTTTGCTTGCTAACCATAAGTGTCCCCTACCCCCTCCATGTGCTAGAAGAATACCCCAGAGGTATCATAGTCAAGTTGTGAGGCTTTGGGCCAATGTTTAAAAAAATGATTTTGCCTTTGATTTCGGGCTTTCCCTTTTAAGTATATTGTGTTCACTGAAAAGGTACTTTTTAAGTTCAACCAGGCGCAAATAGGAACTTGGCTAGTACTAAAGAGGAAATGAGGAAATATAATAACAGTATACGTGGAACAGGCTTCAACACTGAATGTGTCCCATGGGACTGAAATCATAGGATAAATTCTTTAATTTTAAAAACACGCCACCAAGGCTTTTGATGTGAAGTTAAGTTAATGTTCTATGGGATGTGTGCTGTAAATAAACACTCCAAGTTTTACATTTAATTTACTTTTACATGTAAAAATATTCAAATGGTGCTCTTTCCTCTTATGTGCCTCACTACTATGCTGTCATTTTCATGATGCTCATTTGTTAGGAAACTCTTTAATTTATACAGCTCTTGTATCATGTATGTAAACTTTGGTTTTTTGTCTGTTTTACATATGCCCGGGGCGGTGCTACTGGCTGAAGTGTCTTTAGGCCATTCCCAAAGGGGGTACTTTAACCTGTTCTTATGCACAGTAGAATTGTGAATGGGCTGATTCATCGATATCATGCTCATAACTGTGCCTGAACTGCAACAGGGAACTGCTGCTTTTTGTTTCATGATTCTTACTATCGTCATTTTCCTCTACTTCTTTTGTATGTTTGTCACACTCTTGTGACCCACTATTTCCGGGGTGTCTTGATAGTCGAAGCAGGCTTTGTGCTGTTGAAGCTAGAGAGAGAGCAGAGTAAGTCTGATTCCCTGTAAGGGTTTCTCTGTTGACCTCCACCCCTTGGCGCTCATATGACTTTATGCAGTTGCGAGTGCCGTAAAATCTCTTCCAAAACTAAATTTTTTACATATATTTTGGCCTTTTTATCACAACTGCTTTTCGGGCATTATTTAAGCCACTGTTCAGTGATGTTGTTATGGTACATGGCACTTCAAACTTTGTTTATTTTTGTGTGAGAATTTAATTTATTATTCATCTTTAAAAAATATTTCGGACACCAATTATGTCAATTAATTATGGTATGTGAGAGGGCAATTCATACTATGTAATTTGTGTGATATTGTGAAATGAGGCGTTTGTCAGAAGAATGAAATCAAAGAAAGTAGGTTCTCAACCCTTAATTTTCATATTGGATAGACTTAAGTGGAAATATCAATCCTCGTATCATAAAAACTTTTCCTTCTGAGCATTTTGATACCAAATTTATTGCAATAGGATGGTATTTATTAAGGAAATTATGAATGTTTAAAATTTTATGTTTTTGTGTACATCGCGAAATACGAAAAACACGATTTTCAGAGACAGCCCACTCATAAACCAACTTTGCTACTCAAAATGAACTTCTCCAGTTAAATGCCATTGGTGCATACTTAGCTCAATTTTTTTCATAGACATCTGACAATCCAAAATGATGAAAATATGTCCTAAAAAATTGCCCTAAAGCCATTTTCACACTTTTGCTAAAGGCAGGTAAAAACAATAAAAATTTTATCAACTTCCAAATGTTGCAAAAATTGACCTATTACTGATAGATGCTTATTATATACACCATATTAAAGAAAAGAAGAGCTCCTATGCATGAAATTGAAAGTAATCAGAACATATGTTAATGCATGCCTCTCCTGGGTCTTCAAAATACCCATACATATAACCCCCCCCCCCAGCAAATATGACAATATTTAAATTTGCACACCTATTATTGATAGTATATACATCAAATTAAAGAGAAAGCAAAGCTCTATTACGTTAAATTAATAAGAGCAAACTAAAATCATCAATGCATTCGTCTCTCCAGTCTTTAAAATAACCATCATCATAATATTTTAACCTAAAAGTTTGACATAATCCTCCAATCATAACTCATTTTTACAAATACACAATTTTGAGGTGCAAGATAGGATTCATAATAGGTAAACTTATATGCAGGGAAGGATTTCACTCTGTTTCCCCAAAAATTGATGAGCGCCTGATTCCATCGTTTTATTACATATTTTTGTGTGAGAATTTGATTTGTTATTCAATATTCATTTATGATACCAATTAATCGTGCTGTATGAAAGGGCAATTCATACGTTGTTATTTTTATTGGAGGATTTATTTTATTCCTCAATTATCATTTTTTAAACTTTAAAATGACATGTTAGTGAAGTGTATATTCCTTGAGGACTGTTTAATGGCAGATTTTGCTGAAATTTACATCCCCCTTCATTTTAATATTGCAATTACTCATACATGTGAGGCAGCTTGGTGAAATCAGTTAATCGCCAAAACAATGAAATTAAAGAACCCGGCATTTTACTGGGTGTTGGGTAATTTTTTTCAAATTTTCTTATTTTGGCTCAACACCTTTTGTGTCCATTTAAAAACACATTTCTGTGTGAATGTTACTGAAAAATGATGAAAGGGACAAAAAATGTAAATTTTCAGTTTTCATGGACTCTCAAGCTATGGATATAACCAAACTTTGGTGTAAGTTTTTTTTCTAAGTTTACATCTGAGACAGGGTTATCTCCACCTCTTTGACTGCAAATTCTTGACTTGCATCCACAATTTATGGGTATAAAAAAAAAAAAATCAAAAGCAAGACAAATGAACAAGCTTTAAGATGACACCAGTAACTCCACTTGCCCAAAAATGGACAAGCGCCTGATTACACTTCTGGACAGGCTGGCAGAGAGTGCAGAGGTGGCAGCAGCAGGAGGGAACATGCGAATCCTTTACCAGACTACAAAGATTCTTTCTGGAAAATATGGGAAACCAGAAGTAACTGTAAAGGACCAAGAGGGAAAACCCATTTTTGGAAAGGAAGCTCAGTCAAAACGATTGCAAATCTCCTGAACAGACCACCACGAAGTGACCCGCCAAACATCCTGCCAGCAATAAAAATGAGTTACCAATCTGCTGTGATGCTCCTTCAAAACAAGAGATTATGGATGCTATTAAGAAGTTGAACAACTGTAAAGCGGCCGGTCCTGATTAGATTCCACCTGAGGCCCTAAAAGCAGATGCCAATGTGACGGCAAACGTTCTTCTCCCGTTATTTACCAAGATCTGGAATGAGAGCAAGTTCCCAATGGATTAGAAAGAAGGACACCTTGTGAAACTTCCTAAAAAGGAGATCTCAGCAACTGCAGCAACTACCGAGGAATCACTCTTCTCTCAATGCCAGGTAAGGTCTTCAACAGAATCATTCTGGAGAGAATCTAGTCCGCACAGATCCAAGACTTCAGGATGAACAGGCTGGTTTTTAAAAAAATCAATTAACCACGG